TAATTATCGATGAAAACTCGTCCTCACAGCCACAAAAACGTGGCGTCAAATATGACACCCGCACCTACTACTACTACTACTACTACTACTACTACAACTACTACTACTACTACTACTACTACTACTAGTAGTAGTAGCACTACTACTATACCACTACCACCACCACCACTACTGTTCCTGCTCTCTCTGACAGTGAAGGCTCTCAGGCTCTTGACTGCCTTAATATTTCCCTTAAAGCTCCAAGTCGCAAACCCAAAGCAGGAAAACGGCCCCCAAACTAAGATTCCTAACCCCTCAACCCCAAATCCCAAGACTTAAACCCTGACACCCCTAAACCCTAAACACTAAGCCTTAGACTGTGTCGAGTTTCTGAGCTTGGGCTCGGGATGTAGATTTTGAGGCTGGGCTACGTTCACCCTAAAGTTTCTCAGAACATGATGAATCTTCGACATCTTTCATCCGACAAAGACACCTGAGGCTGCAGAGGCTCGTCTCGAGAATATTGCAAGCCTCGCAGCACCCCTGAACCATAGCATGATGGGTAGACATGGAATAATGATGCTGGATAATGTTGGGGGTTTTTTATCGACAGCCATAAGGCGCGAGCATGAACGGGCTCTTCCGCACGACAACGTGGAAGCAGTCTTCACTCAGGATAGACCCAAGAGCCTGAACCACCCTGAGTGCCCGAACCCTCAAGCCCTGAACCCTAAACCCTGAACCCCAAAACCCTAAAACCCTAACACCCTAAAACCCTAAAACCCTAACACCCTAAACCCTGAACCACCCTAATTCCCCGAACCCTCACAGCTGGTGCCTCGGAGGCCGCAAAGAGCAGAAAGCCTCCCCGCTTGACGGCCAGGGGCGACTTGGCTCCTGTGAGCGGACCGGGGCCCCCTGGATTGGGCCTCATCCTATGCTACGTACAGTTAGAACAAATAATAGTCAGAATAACAAGATGATCACGGTTTACGGTGTAGGGTTTAGGGTTTAGGATAAACAGAATAATAAGATGATATAGTATAAACCCTAAACCCGCCGGTTCATACAACAGTCAAGGTTGCTCAGGACTTGGATGTGAGCCTCCAGGCCTTAGAGTCGAGGGTTCCGGTTTGACGGAGCATTGTTTAGGTTGCATGCTGTGGTACAAGTAGTTGGGGTTAGGGTTCGACAGTACACATTTGGGCCCCCGGTTTTCGCTGGGGAGTAAGCAACAATGACAAATGCTCCTGGTGCACCGCCAACACCGACACGATCTGCTGTATCGCACGTTGCAATGTTCCCATTCGCAGTCCTACATGCCCTGTTACACATTAGAAGCCTGGCTTTCCTGTGGTCATGTCTTGTTGACTCTTTGTGCTTGCACGACAATGCGATTCTCGATCGATTTTGCGTGCCTTTGACTTTGAGGCTGTATACTTTGCTCTGCTGTGTAAAACAAAGCACTTGTACAGATACCGTACTGTGTTCAAGACGGGAAAGTGGGTTACTGGCCACGAAGCATAACTGATGGTGTGCTCTGCTAGCGATGGGCTCGGGCGAAGTAAGGCCTGCTCCCTCGCCGATGACAACAGCGTGCTCGCCGCCGTCCCCGCGAACCTTCGAGACAAAGTCGGTTTAGGGCTTTAGGGTTTAGTGAAGCTTCGGGACTGTCAAATGCGAGGTTGAGAGCGTAGCATCTGTGGCTTGGTAGACAACTCGCTCTTTCCAAGCTTTCCCTCTTCGGCCAGCTACTGTTCTTGATTTATGGCTTTTGGAACGGGAAAACAAGGGTTTGCGGGAGAGGGCACAGCAGTATCGCGTGCGGGACGAGCAACGATCTTGCCGTCGACGTAGATGAAGGCACGGCCCTCCTTGCAGTTCACCACCATAGTGACGTCATGCCACCTGCACAACTGTCTGGGAATCTCGTCTTTGGACCAGAACCCAGAAAGACTAGGACGTCTCTGGGGGAAGGTTCAGGCCTGGGAAATGTGGACAGTGGCGGGGAGTCAGAAAGTCAGGGCGGTGGCAAGAGCAAGAGGAACTGCTGTCGGAACAGTAGCAGCAACAGTGTATTTCTGCTCGTTCTCATCATGATCATCGTCATCGCCATGGCAAGTCGCCGACATCATCATCAACCTTAGCATAATCTACAACAGCAGCAGCAGCAGCATCGGCAGCGGCAATAGCATCTTGACCATGAGAATGGCTATCATAGCATGATCATCATAGTCTCTTCATCATCATCGTCATCGTCCTCACCGCCGCTGTGTTTATCAGAAGAAACAGCAGCATCATCTCCGACGTATCAGCATGTCTTGGCCATACTCAAGGCACCTGCCAGGGCGAAGCACCGACTTGTTGAGGATCACATTGCCCACCTCTGGCCCAGGGAAGCTTCGGGGCTTTGGCATGCAGGGCCTAAGGTCCTCCTTTCTCTCTTCCGAACGCTGAGGGTCTGGGGCTTCCTTCTGGGGGACTCACGGAGCCTGCAAGTGCCAGTTCCACGTCGTGCCCGGTGCAGGAGGCTCCTGGCAGGGTCAGCAGCAGTGCGGGAGTAAGACATGTCAACAGGAAAAGGACTTGCAAGGCAGTGCCTTGGAAAGGACATACCGGCGCCCGCCCTCTGTACATCCCTACAAGCGTTTTTGGCTTCAGAATGCTGCGGAGTCTGCCGGTCCGACGCGCCTCCAAGTAATCTCGCTCAGCCGGGTGAACCTGAAGTCGCTGGCTGGAACATCCGCTGCTGCGATTGATCTGGTGCTCTATCATGATATGGTGACTGCCGCTGGCGTTCTTCTGTTGTCCTCTGGTATTGATATTGCGAGTGTTTAGCAGTATTCATGCCGCTAATCTTAGTGCTGCTCGTGCTACCGACAAATAACCACCAATCTGATTACATGCATCATTACCACTACGACTACTCATGCGCCTCCTCTTCTTCCTACTCCTACTCCTACTCCTGGTCCCACCCTTGCCTCTACCCCTGCTTCTGTTCCTGCTGATGCTATTGCAACCACCACAACTACTACGCCGACCACACTAGCATCTGCTATTTCCTAGGAGTACTGCGAGATCTGTGGTTATGACCGATGTTCGCTTCATGACATCAGCAATCGGTCAACTGTACTTATCGTACGTGTTTATGGGAGTGTGAATGCCTTTTCGCTCTGGGGTGTGCTGCTCGTGCTACCGACAAATAACCACCAATCTGATTACATGCATCATTACCACTACGACTACTCATGCGCCTCCTCTTCTTCCTACTCCTACTCCTACTCCTGGTCCCACCCTTGCCTCTACCCCTGCTTCTGTTCCTGCTGATGCTATTGCAACCACCACAACTACTACGCCGACCACACTAGCGTCTGCTATTTCCTAGGAGTACTGCGAGATCTGTGGTTATGACCGATGTTCGCTTCATGACATCAGCAATCGGTCAACTGTACTTATCGTACGTGTTTATGGGAGTGTGAATGCCTTTTCGCTCTGGGGTTCTTCGACTTAGATCCTGTTGCTCGTATTTATGTGTTACAAATCTTTCAGTAGGTTCTATGTCCATACCTGATGTCTACTGTGACTGTTCTTCCTAGTGTCGATGCTATTGACCACGAGTACACTGAAGCTGATGTTTCGCTTTGTTGTGACCGTTATGACCATACTGCTGGGTATCAGCATTGATCTGTGTAGCATCAATAATGGTTGTCTTACTAGCATGTCCTGACACGATCACCACTGCCGTTACTGTCGTGACTAATCTTAGAACCATGGCTATGACTGCAAGGATCTACGCTGCTGTTCTTGCGACTGACCTTGTCAGTACGAAGCCTGTCAGACAGACTGCCACTACCATTCTGGGAACTGGGCTGGCACGTATTCGTCCGCCACAGCACAAAGCTGCGGTGCGCCTTGAAGGGCATCGTGACATGCACTTCTGACATTACTTGCCGCCTCCCCTCAATTGTCAAAGACCCCCCAGTCTTTGAGGGCGCTTGCCCTTCCCCTCCAGGCATCTCCACCACGAAACCCCCCGAGCCCTCCAAGAGCCTAAGAACCTAAACCAAAGCCCCGGAAGTAGAGCTCTGAGCCCAGGGCCGGAGACCTCGGGCCAAGAAGCCTCAGCGGCAGCAGTCATGCCACCACTGCTTGGCTGGTCTCTTATCCGAAGTCGTGTGCGGTATCACCGCGACGCAAAACACTACCTCGATGATTGCGACAGCCATCATCACCACCACCAATGTTGTCACCATCTGGGCCCTTGCACTCGTGCTTAGCCGGCAGGATTCGACAATCAACCCCAAACCCTAAACCCTAGTGAGAGCCCACGGCTCCCTGCCTGGAACAGTGCGACGGGATGCTGCGACCTGCCAAAGGGTCATCGTCTTTGGATCTGAGACTTGGGGGTGTGGAGGCCTCCAGGGACTCCCTAAGCCTGCCAAAACAAACTTGGTTTAGGCCGGAGGGCAATTCCTACGGGCTGTATCCCAAAACTGGGTGACGATGGTGGTGGTGGCGGTGGTGATGATGATGATGATGATATATGACGATGAATGATGATGATGATGATGATGATGATATATATATATATATATATCCAGTCTCCGTTTTTGGAAAATGACATTGCCTCATCTAGAACATTGAAGCCACAGACGGGAAGACCTCGACACTGCAGGTCTATTGGCCCCTGAAATCAACCCAACAAAAAGCATTGAAGCACAAAGAAGCAAAGCCCGGCATGCCCTGAGAGGCCTCTGCACGGGCAGCTTCAGCTCGAGGGTCAACGTGTACTTCACATGGTCCTGGAGCAGCGGCTCTCAACAAAAATGCTTCAAGCAAGAGGCTTTCTTCTGGTCTAGGTGCGTCTAAACTCTGGTCTTCCGTGACACTAGACCTCGACCGTCCTCGCCGGAACCCGCTCCACCAGGAGCCAGGCCTTCGAGCGGCATGGCCAGGTACCTCGCAGAGTTGAAAAATATCTTTTTTCCTATTAATACTATTACTACTATCATTATAACAATGATTGTTGTTATTATTATGATTAAGGCTTAGGGCTTAGGGTTTAGGGTTTGCAGGAAAGACCACGGAAGACAACGCACAACCTCAGCGACACGACCACATGTGTCTCTAGCTGAAGGTGTGAGGCAGTGTGCTGCGTGAGAAACTGGACAGGACCATCTACTAAGATGACTGCCTCAAGAGTCACGACAATCCAAAAAAAAACAGACTAGCCATGGTCCCAATGGTCCTCCTTCTCACGGAATCCGCTTTTAAAGCAACAAAAAAACACAAAGCTCGTAAACCCCTGACGAACTGTGACAGCAGAACCCGAAATCTTCCGGGGCACGAGGTCGGCTTGATGAGGAGGATGGAACCTCCCGAGTCTCCGGCCTCTCCAGCTTCCGAGTGCAGCGGTAGCTTCGGGGCTGTCGGGCGGTGCTTTGGGGGTTTTTGGGGGACTTCGGTTTCGGGGCTTTCGGGGTTTAGGGGACTAGGGCTTTAGGGTTCAGGGGTTTCGGGTCGAGGTTACTCAGGGTTTAGAGTTTAGAGCTGCGGGTTTTGGGTTTTGGGGAGGCAGTACAGGAAAGGTTGTGATACATCGTTTAGAGCCTAGGGCATATGTAATGATGGCATTCACGCAACGAAATCTCTGCCGACAATAGTAGCCGGCAAACCCTGAACCCACCGACAACGTCCAATAGCAACCTGAACCCAAGCAAGTGCAGGTGCAGTTTCTAAGCTTGGCCGGCGGACTGGCTTCAGCTCCACCCCGTTGCCGTTGGCGAGCACACCGCGGGGAAGGCTGTTGAACCGGAAGTCGAAGAGGTTCCTGCGCCCCAGGCTCCCGCAAACCCCACACCCTAAGACTCCAAACCCAGCAAAACCCGATACTCCAAACGGCATGTTTATGTTTATGTGGGGAGGTATGCACGTGCAGAAGGATCTGCACATGCCTGCTATGCGTGCATGCATATCATGTACAGCTGCACATTCTATGATGCCCTACAGTACTTTTTCTAGCTCTGTGTGTGTGTGTGCGCATGTCATCCCGTGGGGGCCGACCTCGAAGGATCCAGGCCCAATCCGGAGGCTTCGAAGGTGAGCAGGCTCTCCAACTCCTGTCACCACCACGGTCTGGCTGATGCGGTTCACAGCCCTGAGGGCCTATATACTCTGTTTTTATATGGAATCTCTACGACTTGCCAACAGATGCTAACATCTTTGTGACGGTGACCTACGACAATGACGATCGCTGTAGGATGAATAGCGATCCTAGTCGGCATTCTTCGTGCTATCCCAGCATGAGTGAAAGCTCTGTCTCAGCACGACCGCCCGTCACCACCGGCAGCCCTCTGAGGTCTCTGTGAAAGCCCCGCCTCAATGGGCATGCCGTTCTTCTCTCCAAGCAGCTGGTCATGGAACTTGATGTCGTAGTTACCGTCATCCTTGCCAGGCGGCCCTTGCTCTGCCCTCAGCACTCAAAAAAAAAACTGACCCTAAACCCTCCACATTCACCCCTAAACCCTACACCCTAAACCCCACACGGCTCCTGCACGCGGGACACCACGGCATCGTACATGAAGCGCTGGGTGAAGCCCCAACGCCCGGCGGAGCTGAGCGAGGCCTCAAAGGGACTCTTCGACGAGGCATCGGGTTTAGGGTTTAGGGGTTTGGGGGTTCGGGGGTTTGGGCGTTTGGGGGTTTAGGGGTTTAGGGGTTTAGGGTTTAGGGACCTGATTGCACTTTGATTGGGGTTTCGACCTTGATGTGCTGGCCCTCGATGAGGTCTGGGTAGAACCTGAGCTCACAGGAGCTGGAAGCAACCCTGGGGAAGACAAAAAGGCGAGGAATGCCAGGGGGTATGGGAGGAGCTGTCATGCGATGAAGCGGCTTCTTCGCCAGATTGACGTCCTCCTTCTCCTCCTCATCTTCCTTGCTGTGCAAGCTTGTGGTTGAGCTTGGGACTTGGGCTGCTCTGAATTCAAACCGACAACTGCCCGAGGGTCTACTATACTAGTCTAAGCAAGTCAACTCAAAATCCACCTACACCTGGACGGAAAAGGAAAGCCGGGGAACCAGGTCCATGTCATCTTCGGCTTCGGCAAAAAGCCGGAGGTGATCAACCTGGGACACAGGCCGCGGAAGTGAGCGTGGGGCCATCGGCAAGGCGTGCTCTCCCCCGTAACCTCTCTTTTGCTCCCAGCGGCATTAAACCAATCGCGGTGGACCTCCATTCCCTCCCGTATGTCCACCTGCAACATGTTCGGCGGCAAGTTGCAGGGGTCTGAGTGAGCTGAGACTGTAGTCGGTCTCGTAAGCCTGCCTGGAGCATGCACTGCCATTGCTTCTCCCCCTTCTTGCCGTGACAGTCCGCGCAGACGTACCAGTTGCAGTCCTGACACACTCAAGTCACTCAAGGGTTGCAACATCGTGTGGAGTCAACGACAATGACGATGACGACTACCACCAGCAGGCAGCAGCAGCAGCGGTAGCGACAAGCAGCCTCCCCCATGCTAAGAGCCTCCCTGCGTTTCGGGTGCCTCGCAGCCGAAAGCCACTGGCTTGGGCTTTCCGTCGTCCTCCGGCTTGGCATCTTTGTCCTTCTTCTTGGCGGCCTCCGCATCATCTAAACGTGGCAAAAGCATCAAAAAGCCACGCCAGAAAGATCCTGATTATGACGACGACGACGACGACGACGACGACGACGTAAGCTGTGGCTATGACGTTAAAGGTGGTGGTGGTGGTGGTGGTGGTGGCGGCGCTGGTGATGGTGGTGGCGCTGGTGCTGGTGGTGGCGCTGGTGCTGGTGGTGGCGCTGGTGCTGGTGGTGGTGCTGGTGGTGGTGGTGGTGGTGGTGCTGGTGGTGGTGCTGGTGGTGGTGGTGGTGGTGGTGGTGGTGGCGGTGGTGGTGCTGGTGGTGGCGGTGCTGGTGGTGGTGGTGCTGG